CCCGCCACGCGTCGTAATCTGAGTGGGCGGAAGTCCAGTACCAAATTTTTTTCGGGCCAGTAGGATATCCATCAAACAGCCCCCAGGTGGCCAGGTGCTTATGTCACGCTGCTGTCCAGTCTCCTTTGACAATAGAATTATTACTTTATATTTACTTTGCTGCCTGTTATAAATCATAAGTCATTCCAACTTTTTTAGAGAATAAAACGTCTCAAGTTTAACTAAAATTATAGAGAGAATCACAAAGATGTATGATATCAAATAGATATTACTATAAAAATATAATTAACAAAGAATCTAGTAATACTTATTTTTTATCATAAATGTTATTATTTTATTATATAAAGTTGGTCAAACTTAATATGTTTAGACTTTGCAAGACGCTGTGGCCCAACACCCGCTCGTTGCCTTCCTCGGCGCGCTCTGACACTTCGCCTTGCCTCCCTGCATCTCGACCTCGAGTACACTCCAGACGCCGAAGTTCTGGCCTCATGTCATGTCCCGTGCAATACATGCGTTCGACAAAATGCCCAGAAGAGACAACAAGCCAGTACTCCTGTCACATGAAGACTGATGTTGCTGTAGGTCGTCTTGCATATAAACAGTGTGGATGATGAAGGCAAGATACTTAGATACAAACTCCGCTACACGATGGATCATGGTAAGTGGAATAAATTACTTATTTCCTGCTCTCTTTTTCATTTGACTGCAATCATTACAAAATATCATGCCAAAAGAATGCTCAGCCCAAAGTCATGAAGCTAGCAAAGGCTAAGTGCCAAAAAAGACAGTGAGAGCATGCTTCACGGAAATTGTCGTATAGTACTGTTTCCAAAAGTATAAAATTATATTTATTGACGTGCCAAAATTTTAAAACCGATAAGAAAGTTAGCAGTGCATATGTTTCTCTCTTCATATAAACTAGCCAACTATTTTTATGTGAAAGCATTTACATTTAAGACTAGCAAACATTGGCTCGCTAATCAACCAAAACTGTTACGTTAACTAAGCACTATTTTCTTGGGGGATTGTAAAACAGAGAAAACTTAAACACACACTTCGTTCTTGCCAGTTCATAGCGTTTCGATATAAATTTTCAGTTGAGTCCTGCTATCTATGATTAGGCAGCATGAAGTTAGTATCGATCCTGTTAGGAATTTAGGCATTTCCATGGAATCCAAAAAAAAAAATTCATAGCAAATTTGTGATGATAAATATATGCAAGTATGGCATATTACTACTAACAACAATAGCAGTGACATATTATTACTAACAACAGTAGTAAGAACGTACATGACAAACATGCATTAGTAGAGAACAGACCTTTCATCCGAGGCCAAAATGGGCTCTAGTCCTGGCATTTTTTGCGCCCGGGACTAGAGAGACCTTTAGTCCCGGTTGGTGTCTCCAACCGGGACTAAATGTCCCCTGCCCAACGGCTACTGCGCTCGGCACAGTGGCAGGGGACCTTTAGTCTCGGTTGGAGACACCAACCGGAGCTAAAGGTGGACCTTTACTCCTGGTTGGAGCCACCAACCGGGACTAAAAGTCCTCCAACCTTTAGTCCCGGTTGTTAACACCAACCGGGACTAAACGTAGACCCTTCAGTTCCGGTTGGTAACACCAACCCAGACTAAAAGACCCTTTAGTCCCGGTTGGTAACACCAACCGGGACTAAAGGTCCCCCGATGGATTAGTTCAAAAGGGAAGCATCCCATCCATTTTTAGATGTGTTGTGTAGGTGGGGTGGTAAGCTACGCGCGAGGCAATGCATGAGGTCTTGGGTTCGAATCTCACGGGACGCAGCGGTGGAAGGCATTATTTTTTTTAAAGCTGGGAGGACCTTTAGTCCCGGTTGGTGTTACCCACCGGGACTAAAGGTTTTAGTCCCGGTTCCTGACCCGGGACTAAATGACCCCTCTTTAGTCCCGGATGCTTGCTCCCGGGTGGGGAACCGGGACTAGAGGGGGTTCCCCACCGGGAGTAAAGCCCGTCTCTGTATTAGTGATGCTGATCATAGCAAATATTCTACTGAATTGAACACATTCAGTAAGAGATACGGGCACCGGTGGCTCCATGCACACTGGTACTACACTAAGTAAACTAGCATCCTGCGCAAATAGCAGGATGGCACCGATGCACTACTGGAAACAGGGCCTTTGCCGAGTGTCAAAAATCGGGCACTCGGACCTTCTTTGCTGAGTGTCGCACTCGGCAAAGAATTGCACTCGGCAAAGGACTTCTTTGCCGAGTACCAGGCTCTCGGCAAAAGCGCGGCACTCGACATAGGCTGCCCCGCGTAACGGTGTTCGGCTACGTCCTTCTTTGCCGAGTGCCTGCTGTTAGGCACTCGGTAAAGATTTTTTTTTTTGAAAAATACTTTGCCGAGTGCCCCTGAGACGACGCTCGGCAAAGATTCAATATTTTTTTTAATGTCTTTGCCGAGTGTCCACTGATTCGGCACTCGGCAAATAGAGGAATTAAAAAAATTACTTTGCCGTGTGGTGTTCTGGATTAGGGGATTTAGTTCAAACCTGAAATGATTCCTAGAGATTTGGATCTGTGTTGAGGCCCCGGGTGTTGCAAGCGTTTCTGCTCTGCCAAGGGGTACAATGTTGGGAGCCACAAATGGTGTAGGCTGACCACTGCAGGACAATTCGCAGATTTGATGATTAAAGTCAATCAGGAAAAAAAAAACCTCCTCTAATATATACACTCGTATGGCACCGTTGTAATTCGCTCCGTTTTGTTTCGAATGAACAATTGAATATGCAGTCCGTCAAGCAAGCAGCGTGCGTGCGTGCATTGTTGCTCAATTGATGCTACTACAGGAGTATATATTCTGTATTCACATGGAGCCATTTGGATTGCAAGACACATGCACGGATGCACCCCCGTGTTGGTTTCACGTGGACGATGTCACTGATGCTGCTGCTATCTAGCCCTTGTTTAGTTTCAGAAAGTTGGAATTTGGGGTTACTATAGCACCTTCGTTTTTATTTGGCAATTAGTGTTCAAACATGAACTAATTAGGCTCAAAACGTTCGTCTCGTAATTTCCCACCAAACTGTGCAATTAGTTTTTTTTCATCGATATTTAATGCTTCATGCACGAGCCGTAAACATTCGATGTGACAGATACTGTAACACTTTTTGAATTTTAGGGTGAAACTAAACAAGGACCTAGCTAGGTCCAGTTTAGTTTGCAAAAAATTTTGCAAAATTTTTCACATTCCCCGTCACATCGAATCTTTGAACGCATGCATGAAGCATTAAATATAAATAAAAAATAAAACTAATTACACAGTTTAGACGAAATCCACGAGACGAATCTTTTAAGTCTAATTAGATTATGATTGGATACTATTTATCAAAAAAACAACGAAAACATTAAAGTACTCATTTTGCAAGCTTGTTTCAACCGAACGTCTCGTCAGTCAGCATGCATGCATGCGGGGGCAATGATGACTAGTGCAGAGCCCCGGCACAGCAGTGCCCTCCCTAATTGTCGCCTCACGAGCGGCAGCTGCCTGCGTGCGGCCAAGCCCCGCCCGTCTGGCGTCTGGAGGCCGCACTGCACGTCTGATCTGATCGTGGACGAGGACCGGACGCCGAGTGTTTTTGAAATTCCTTTGCCGAGTGCGGCACTCGGTAAAAAGAAAATTTCTAAAAAAAAAAAATCAAAAACCCTCTTTGCCGAGTATTTTATTTTTAGCACTCGACAAAGACTCCCTTTGTCGAGTGCCATACCCTGGCGTTTGGTAAAGTTTTTTTTTTGTTTTTGGCCTTCAAATTTTTTATGCAGCCCTTTTTAAGCACTAGGAACTCCAAGTTAGAATTTGAGAATTTTTTATGACTTTTTGATATATTTAGTTACTTTATTTCGTTTACTTGAATTTTTTTGAAAAATATAAATTTGAACTGCACGTGGTACGAATAATGAAATTTAATGATTCAAAAAATGATAGTCATGTTACTGAGTGTAGTGTGAGGCCGTATCCAGGAATGGACCCGAAATTTCGGACATCTTGTTCACGAAACATGACCGCGAACTTACGTGCGAAGTGTTTTTAAATTCTATAAAAACAAACGAAGTCAAAAATCATGAAACTTGTTGAGATGTTTTATGATATCGTATGTGGAGGCTATGATAAAATTTCAGAAAATTTCGTACGCAAGTTCACGTCTGATGCTTACAACACGATGACATCTCTACATTTCAGAAAGCGTCTCATGTATACGGTTGTTACACCGCACTGAAGAATATGACTATCATTTTTAGAATCATTAAATCGTATTATTCGTATTCAATGCAGCAAGCTAAATCAAATTTATATTTTTCAAAAAAATCAAGTAAACGAAATAAAGTAACTAAATATATCAAAAACCACAAAAATCCCAAATTCTAACGAGGAGTTCCTAGTACTTAAAAAAAATTTGCACAAAAATTTGGAGACAAAAAAAAAAATTGCCGAGCCGGGGGCATGACACTCGGCAAAGGGGGTCTTTGCCAAGTGCCAAGAATAAGGCGCTCAGCAAAGAGGGTTTTTGAATTTTTTTTAGAAATTTCCTCTTTGCCAAGTGCCTTCAGGTATTTAAAAAAAAATTCTATGCCGACAGCCGGATCGGGACACTCGGCAAAGTTGCCTTCTTTGCCGAGGGCCTCCCTGATCCGGCGCTCGGCAAAGGGGTGGGTGGGGGCACTTAGGCGAATTCGGCCGGGCAGTCCAAGCCACACAGACAGACAGCCCCCGCGCGCGCCGCTCCCGGCCGTCCCCGTGCCGCCGCCCACCAACGCCGGCCCGCCCCAGCGCCGCGCGCCGCCCTCCCCTCCCCGTGCGCCGTCCTCCTCCAGCACGTGCTGGGCTTCGTGCCAGCGTGCGGACGTCTGTTCTCGGCACCCGCTGGCGCCACCTCTGGCGGTCGATGCACCGCCTCCGCGTCACCGTCAAACCGCTCTGGAGCGCCGAGAAGCAGCACATGTTCGTCAACCACGTGCTGCTACTGCGTGACCCGAGATCCACCGTGGACCACTGCGAGCTCGACCTCCGTGGATGCAAGGAGGCCAACCGCAATTACGCCGAGCTCTGGATCCGGCACGCGCTGCTGCTGCAGGCTCGTGTGCTGGACGTCAGCAGGTTCTAAATAGCGGGCTATAGCGTCCGCTATAGCGGGATATAGCGGTTGAGCAGGGCGGCCGCTAGGCATCGACACTTTTCGCGCCATGAGATCGCTGACGCTAATAGCGACTAATAGCGAGCGAAATCCGCTAAATCAAGGTTCATTTAGCACTGCTATCCAACCAAAATCGACATGGACTTTGAATTCTGTTGGGCTAAAATCGCGCAGGCCCAAAACAACTCGATAGAGCTGGTGGATTGAGCTGTGTTGTCATTCTTCTTGAAATCTCAGCGACCAAAAGTGCTGGCGGCGGCAACGACGACGTCGGTGGCGGCGGGCGGCTGCGAGCCTGCGACTTGGCCTGAGGTATGAAACAGGAGCTGCAAGCCATGAGGAAGATGTGGACGCAGCCACCTTGGGCCATCTGCGCGCTGGCCAGGTATTGTCAGCTGCCTTCGATTAGATTAGATATGATTTGGTTCTTTCTGAACAAAGCAATACCGATGAGCATCTCTGTACTCAAGTTCGTGATTAAACAATACCGATGAGCATCTCTGCATCTCTGAACTTTTGATTTATGTTCAGGATGAAAAAAAATTCAAGATGGAAAAAAAATGCAGAAGTCCATCTTATTATGTCAGTGATTTCTCTTGCCCATCTTATTATGGCAGTGATTTCTGTTGCCGTTGCTCATACTGCCAACATTCATACAGAGCAATAATGACACATGCTGGTAGATAAGGATATGTTGAAGCGTTTGCATACCTGCCATACCTCCAACATAGAACCTTAGGATTTTGCCAAAAAATGACCTCCCGTTCTTTGAGAAATCACCATTGCCAGTAATGAGGTAGAGGTATCCATCGCTGTCACTTGGCCGGAACAGGATCTGTCCGCCATGATGCTGGTAGGAATATGATGTGTGCGGGTAGGGCAAACCCATGGTGAAGATCCTCCTCACTTCTGATCAATAAGCGCGAGTTGCCTAGCAAATTGAAATTATAATATGCAGATGAACGAGCAGAAAATTAACTAGAGCAAAGCAATAGGCAATCCTTGAATCTTCAGGTTCCTACAACATCTATGTACTTTGTACTACTCAAAAATCTAATTCCATTTTAAGTGAATAGGACTCATAGAAATAGAAAGGGAAATCTGTTACCTTCGAATAGTCAGTGCCACCTTTAGCAGAGAACTCGGAGACGACAAGCTGATACCTGCACAGCTGGGAGCCATTTCCGGCAGCAGAACCCCAGCACGTGCCGGCACCACAGACCGGTGAGGTGCTGCTGTCACAGTTGTAGGAGACGAAGAAGCGGCCATTGGTCGTGAACTCTGGGTGAAACGCCACGCCCACCAGTCCGAGCACCGCATCATGGTGCACTCGATCCGAGATGTCAAGGAAAGGACTGTCAGAATGCAGGGTCACTCCAGATCCCTGATGAGGCATTGAGACCAGCCAGATCTTTCCGTCCTGGCTGGACAAGAAGACTCGGCCTGAGCCATCTGGGTGAGCAGCCATGGTGACAAAGGATCCTGCGCTGATACGCTCAAGGCAAAACGTGCCCTGCTCCCATGGCAACCGGGTAGCAGGGGGGCCAGGCTGGTGCTGGGCAGAGGTCGACGACTGAGTAGACTCGCAGAGGAGCGGAACGGCGAGCTTCATGGTCGTCGCCGAGTCAACCGAGTTGAACAGCATGGCCGAGAGGGATGGCACGCATCTCTGCATTAGAAGTTGGGAAATGTCAAAACACAGTATATGTCCAGGCTGTCCTGATCGGCTAATCGCAGATCATAAAAAAATATGCTTTGTTTTTATTTCAAATCTCGTAGCATGCATTTTGTTTTTCTCCTTCAGAACACACACCTCAAACCTTTTACAAACACTAAACAGTATACGAACACGCATAGTAGGAATTGAACACAATCTCTGCAGATGTGCATTGACCGAATGGAAACAAAGCCCTGCTCGCTGGGAGAAATTTAGATGAATCTGCATGAATCTATGAGAACGTGAACAGTGAATTTCAACCGTAAACAGTAAATTCCGGCTGAAATTCACACCAGCCGAACGGCCCCCAATTCAGTCACGGGCATTTAGTAAGCTTATACAGATATATTTAAGTAGAATTTGTTGCAGCCATCATTCATAGATATATGGACTAAAAGATCAGAAAATAATTGACTGAAACGTGCGCATACCAACTGCTCTGACATGTGGTGTTTGCGAATCAATCATTTGTACTTGGACTAGATTAGTCCATAAAGGATGCCGAAATTCTTTTCAGCTGGGCTGTAGCTGTACCGAACAGTTGTTACGAACCTAGTGTCAGTCCAATCACAGTACCAGCGAATGATCCAGACGAAGAACAGGAGTCACCATCTCCTATATATACAACTAAAAAGAAATAAAGTAACACCATCGTTTCGTGCGACAATCGTCGCTCCGTCGGTCCGCCCCTCCCCTGCGATACCGCGCGTCGTAATCCTCCCCCCGTCGCCAGCGCCATTATAGCCGGGCACCCCCGGAATCCGCGGCGCGCCCCTGCCTTCGGTCCTCTCTCCCGGGACAAAGCGTCGGACCCCTGCGCCGCCCCAGCCTCTCTCCGCACCGCACCGTCCGTCCAACGTCCCCCTCTACCGGAGCCCAGGGAGCGGAGGCGGGCGGCCATGGATGTCGACTGCGTCTCGCTGCCCGCCACCGCCGCATACCAACTGCTCTGACATGTGGTGTTTGCAAATCAATCATTTGTACTTGGACTAGATTAGTTGATAAAGGATGCTGAAATTCTTTTCAGCTGGGCTGTAGCTGTATCAAAACGAACCTGTTCGCTTGGTCGTATTTGGCTTATAAGCCATGGCCTATCAGCCAACGAAGAGTATTTTTCTCTCACACCAAACCAGCCAACAGTATTTTCAACCATGGCTTATAAGTCAAACAAGCCAAAACGAATAGGACGTAGTGTCAGTCCAATCACAGTACCAGCGAATGATCCATCCAAGGCAAGCGGCGCTGATGCCGCGCCATGGGTGGGTCCGGACATGGCACGGCAGGGGCGTCGACGGCGCGGACGGATCTGGCCATGGTGGGGTAGGTCTGCATGCGGGATCGGGGCTTCAATCGCCCGGAACTTGTGCCTTGAGGCGGAAAACAAGAGGAGAGAGAAGAGAGCGCAAACGGGAAGGCGGAGGAGGGTTTTTTTATGCCTTTTTTTATAATATATAATAAAGAGATTCCAGCTTTTTGTCAGTGGGGGAATGGTCAGCACTCAGCCGCATATATTATACGTATATACAGTATCCAATCATCCGTATATTCATTTGATGCGACGCGAGCATACACAGGAAGTGGTAAATAAATAAAAGTAAAAGTAATAATAAAAGAAGAAAAAGGAGAGAAAAAAACGACGGCGGACCGCGCAGAGGACGTCCTTCACGATGGCGGCGCACGCGGCGTCGGAGATGCGCAGGCCGTCGAGCTCCGCCCTGAGCCCCGCGTCGTCGTCGGCGTCGCAGCAGCTCAGGCCGGCGTCGCCGCCGCAGAATCCGAGCGCCTCTCCCAGCACCACCGGCTCCCCTGCAGAGGACAGGGCAACACATACAGCGAAGCAAGGCGGATCGACGCCCATCAAGGAGCATGCACATATACACAATGAATCACAGTCACAGGCAGCAGCTACTCACGTGAGCCCGCGCACACCGGGGCCGGGGAGGCAGACGACGTGGACCAAGCACCGGAGAGCAGGAAGAGAAGGACCCCGAGGAGGCGGATTACCTCCTGCTCCCTCGCCATGAATCCAAGGAGCAGGTGAGAGTGAGACCGTGTAGTGAGAGGGTAAGACAAGGGAGGCGCTTGATTTGATGTGGCGCCCTTCCTTATATAGTTCAACAGTTGAGAAGAAGCCTCAACCTTACGCTAACGCCTTCTCAGCCTGTTTGACAAGTTGAGAAGAAGCCTGAGGAAGAAGCGACGAAACTGCAGGCGTGCTTCAAAGTCGCTCATATTCTCTAATTTCCCGTGTTAGTGGAATGGGGAATCTAATGACGTGCCGACGTTGGAGACGAACTTTTCGAGCCTGTGGCTTGCGAGCGAAGCAAGTTATCCGGTTTTTTGATCGGGGCTAGCGCTGGGACTCGGGAGGCAGACTCGCAAGGTACCTTGGGCCTTGTTTAGATACCCTCAAAATTCCAAGTTTTTTCACTCTCTCTCTATCACATTAATTTTTAGCCGTTTATATGGAGCATTAAATGTAGGTAAAAAAAATAACTAATTGCACAGTTTAGTTGGAAATCACGAGATGAATCTTTTGAGCTTAGTTGGTTCACGATTGGACAATATTTACCAAATAAGATAAAAGTTATACTATTCATCGGGTTGAATTTTTTTTCAATCTAAACAAGGCCCTGGTTAAAAACCCAATAGTGCCACCTGAGCCTTTTTTAGTTCACCACCCTGCGGCACCGCCTCGGCCATCACCACTCGCATGTTTTTTTAAATTTTTTAACCTTTTCTTGAAACAATTGTTAAAATTAACACCTGCAAACATCTAGGTCCCTAATTAGGTTTGGAATTCTATACTTCTAGATACATACTAGATACCAACTAGAGTTGGGTTTGGAATTCTATACTTCTAGATACGGACTAGAGTTGTTTTGGAATTCAGGACTCGTGGAAGATCGAGCTCCAATTTGCTAATTGCTTAATTCATTTATCTATGCTTCGCGCTGCAATTGCTAAGTCCATAGATCACATTTATTATTCCTGTACAAATGCCTTTCTGCAAAATTAATTGTATTCCTTGCTACTACCCAAATTGCATGATCCTTGTTAATTATATCGGGTAAGTCATGCGGAGTATAATTGAGTACTCACCCTGTGTGATCTTGAGTTTTACAGGTAGTTCAGCCCAGTCCATGGTTTCTTTTATGCTCCCGAATCTCAGTTGGATCAGGAGTGGTAGGGAGACCAATGTTGCGTAGATGTGTGGCGGTGGCACACCCACACATTAGTTATCATGGAAAACTATGTTAAAAGACTTCCGCTAAGAATCTGATGGCAGTATGTGATGTGTGAACTTGTGTTATGAACTAAATGTGTGAACTCCTAGATTGTAAACTTAAGTGCTTTGAACTTGTAATATGACCTAGCTGTGGTTGTGATGTATTCTCTCTCTTTGGCTGATCCTAGATGAAGGTTGGTATTTTAGTACATCTTATGGGAGGTGTACCGGGATGACCGATTAAGAGATGTGTCCAATTTAATAGCCCCTAGTGGACTATCATCTTGGGTACTCGCTTAAGAGGGCATTGATCCTGACAGCCGGTCGGACGGGTATCAGAGTAGGCTAGAGATGATCGAGAGCCGTTACAACTTCTGTTTCAGGTTTGGGACGTCTTAGGCAAATAAAATATTGACTCATTAAATAATAAATGATTTGGAACAAATGTGAACTTAAATGCTAAGGTTGTCACTTGTTATTGTTATTTAACTCTTATCTATCTTAGAGCTATTCCCATCCACTTCTGCATGAGTTGAGTTTTACAAAACAGTTTGTTCTAACTTACCTTGTCTTACATCACTAGATGGACGTGGGACGTTTGGTGATGACCACTCATGGAGAGAACACCGAAGGATTCCCGGCCTTGTTCAATGAGGTCATGTGGAGAGCCAACTACACTTACTGCCCGGAGTATGCGGTATACGCCAAGAGAGTTGGACATGGGATGGTGGACTACATGGCAAGGGTCCACATTTTGAGTCATCTTTGTGTCGGTGCGAAAAGTGACCAACAAGTAAATATTTGTAGTTTTGTCGTGTGTTGTGATCGGATGTGGCCTAACACTCAATGACATAGGATTTATACTGGTTCAGGCAACGTGCCTTACGTCCAGTTTCAGTCGGTCGGTGACTTTATTCCTGAGCCCAGGTGCTCGAAGTTTGCTGTGGGGTTACAAACAAGTAGGAATGAGAATGAATACGTGTGCTACCTAGTCTTGTCGCCCACGCTGTCGGGTACGAGACGGTCGTCGTCGCCCACAATATTGTTCATGTCCAGACGCATGTGGTAGGCTCTACCATGTTCGCCTGGTATGGCAAACATCGGCGCCTACAATATTGTTTGTGCTCTGACACGTCTGGAAGGCTGCATAGTGCCTGTCTGGCATGGCCTGGCGGCACCGTCCTGTAGGTGCACTTGGCATGGTAGAGTATGGTCCTCGGTATTATGGTTGACTTTGCGTGCCTTACCTTATTTGCTCCGCCTGATCCCTAGGCCTTTACCGAGCGGGCATCCCCGGTCGGTCGTTCCCAATTGGCCCTGACCATGCCGGCCGAGGAAGAGCCACGAGCAGAGGTCCAGTCGTATCCCTGGTCGAAAAAGGAGGTCAGAGTTGGACTGTGTCTCCACCTTGGCTAGGCCTTCCGGTCGGGGACCGGATCGTTGTCTTGGCATGTCATTATGTATCTAGGCCGGCCCGGGAGGCGCGCGTTGTTGCTACGCCGTCTTCTGGGCCAAGTTTTTGTAGGGAAGCGGGTCCATTGGGGACCTCGGGTTTATAAACCCGATAGGATCCCTCGAGCCCTTTTGGGACTTCTGTGAAGTCGTGAAGGGGCTATTTACACTCATTTCACGAGTGCATGTGGTGGGTGTAAGATCGTGGGTCGCCATCGAACAAGACAGAGCATAAACCCGAAGTGTCGGGCGTGGCCGAGGGGTCGGGCAAGATGGAGCGCCAACCCAATCGTCGAGTGCAGCCGAGGGGTCGAGCGAGATGGAGCGCCAACCCAAGTGTCGGGCGCCAACCCAAGCGTCGGGCGTGGATGAGGGGTTGGGCGAGATGGAGCACCAACCCAAGTATTGGGTGTGGCCAAGGGGTTGGGCGAGACAGAGCGCCAACCCAAGCGTCGGGCTCGGCCAAGGGGTCGGGTGAGATGAAGCGCCAACCCAAGTGTCGAGCCAACCCAAGCGTCGGGCGTGGCCAAGGGGTCGGGCGAGACGGAGCACCAACCCAAGTGTCGGGCGTGGCCAAGGGGTCGGGCGAGACGAAGCGTCAACCCAAGTGTCGGGCCAACCCAAGCGTCAAGTGCGACCGAGGGGTCGGTCAAGTTTCGTGCATTACCCCATCCATGGTTTTTGCAACCGGAGGGGTTGAGCTAACATCGCTTGCCGCGATGGCTCGAGTGATGCACTCGGTGAGCTTAATAACGGGCACGTCCGAGTGAAATCTGGATCCGTCATTCATAACGGGGTTGGCATAGCCCTCATGTGGCATTCCACTGCTCATTAACCCGCCTCCCGGTAGATGCCCGAGCCGTTCCGGAGACCGACTCAGGTGGCCTGCTGGCCTTCCCTCGATGGAGATTATGTGGGCAGGACTCGAGGTCAGGATTGAACGAGAAGGTCAAGATTACCCTATCCGCTTCGGAGCGGATCGGGCGAGGGCCGCTAGGGCTCATCTACATTTTCTCCCCTAGCTCTGTTTGACATGAGGCGGCCTCGAGCCCTTTGTGGACCAGCCATCGAACCCCGGTCGATCGTCGCTCATATCGAATGAGGCGACTACCGCTTCGTGACGCAACACGAAGCGTTGTGATGCATCAATTGCATATGCAATGCTTGGATGTATGGGATAAATATATGGATGAATGTATGAATGCATGTATGAGAATGGATGAATGAATGATCATGTACTAGAAAATAAAAAGGGGGTTTGGTAAAGTTACCTCGATAGCTCGAGTGACGAGTCTGGGGAGCTCCTATCGGATATGTCCCAAAGGGATCCGTGTCCGTCGTTTGTGATGGGGCTGGTATAACCCACATGGGGCATCCCGCTGCTCCATACCTATCAGCCAGCAGCCGCCCGAGCCGTTCGATCGACTTGGGTGACCCGTTGGTCTCTCCTCGATGGAGATTCCATTAGTGGGCCCTTCCAAACCCTGCCTGGGAAGGTGGAGGGTCATTTGCGTGCGGTTGCGCCTTGTTTCCTATGCCCGGGTTGCGGTAGTGGTCGACCCTACCTAGGCCATGCCTGTTAACCAGGAGACATTTCATCGTGCAGGGCAAGTCCCATCAGCCAGGGCCACATCCTGCTGCACGCCTCTCCGCCTTAAATAGGGGGAAGGGAGAGGGTTTTCCTCCCATTCTTTCGCCTTTCTTCAATCATCGCCTCTTCTCCTTTGTCCTTTTCTCCAAGCCTATTCATGCGCCATGGTGGTTTCTAGGAGAGAGGAGGGTAAAGCGAGGGAGAGAAACAAAACTCACAGATTCATCCATAAATCCGAGGTGCGATGTCGAACTAGAGGCCTTCCAACGTGGATGAAGAGGTGCTGGCCGCCTTCACTGAGAAGAGGCTGCTCCCATCGAAGGAGGTGGTGCATTGGAGCGCTCCTGCGCCAAGGGAGGTTGTTCCGCAACCCTAGGCCGACGAGGTCATAACCTTCCTCGCCTTCCATGAGCGTGGGCTCGGGTATCCCGTGCACTGGTTGCTGTGTGGGCTCCTCAATGAGTGGGGTCTGGAGTTGCAGCACCTCAACCTGACTAGGGTACTGAACATCACTGGCTTCATCACCATCTGTGAGGCCTTCCTCGGGATGGAGCCGCATGTGGACCTCTTCCGGTGGATCTTCAATGGGCGAGCCCTGTCCGAGGGGAAGCCGCCCAGAATCACGCCGGTTGGGGGATTTGCCTCGCAGAAGAAGCCGAAGCCATCGGCCCCCTACCCTGCGTACTCCCCCTGTGACTCCAACTGGGGGTGGTACGGTGAGTGATTCTACATCAGGAACCCGGTGGAGGC